CTCTTTCCATATAAACATTCTTGATACTGACCCCTATTATTTTCATCTTTGTGGATATCACTTTGTTCTCCTTGAATTGTTGTTTCCAGTAATAGGGTTACTTAGTTTTTCGGTAGTCAATTTGCTTGTAACTATTTGATATTTCTCCTTTTTCCCATTTTCAGAGTCTCTTGTCAATGCCAACCATGAAAGAGATGGAAGTAAGAAATTATGATATGCCTTTTTGTCTCACTAAATCAAAGTAACTTTGTTGACTGTTAAATAACATAACAATTTGTGGTGTGTGTTTTTTTTTTTTGTTTTTACTGCATCAAGACCAACCTTCTGGGGATCAAACTTGGATAATTTACAAGAAAAAATTATTTGTAACAATTAACCTAGAAATACTTGTAGCTTTTTTTTTGTCTTTGTATTTTTAACTGAAGTTATCCAGCAAATACAAGTGAGGAAAGATTGAAAATATGTGGGCAATGTTTGATATTTCCTACTTTTTTCACATACTTTTGAATTTGACTCAGTACATGTCTTTCTGTGTAGAGTAAAAAAGTTGGAGAAGAAATTTTGGATCTTCTGAATGTACCTTCACATAAGGTAAGGGAATAGAGGCAGACTGTCATCTGCTTAAAAAAAAAAAAGAAAACTTTGAAAACAATGTAGGTAAGAGCCATATCTTGCTCTTCCTATACAATATTATAACATACCTTTCATTCTACCTGATTAATATTGAGCATCCATTGTTTGTATACCAGTCGAGTAGCACTTTTAAAATTGGCTTACCATGGAACATCCTAAAAGCAACTTGTGTTTTATTGTTATGCACACAAGTCTTAAGAAAAGTGAATCTACAAGGAAAATTCAAGTGTCAAGTCAGATATTCTGTAGTTTACCACAAGAAAGTGAGGATACTGTGAGCAACAGAATTATTGGACATATTTGAAGACTTCATTGTGAATGGTTGTGAGCTACAGTGTATACCAGTTGAGACCTTGGCAACATTTTCTTTTAAATTTTGAAATAATTTGTTATTTATAATTTATTACAAAATGTTTATAGCTTAAACTTCATAACATAAAATGCAAAAAATGCACAACTAGTAAAACTTTTGTTAACATATGTTACCCAAAAAAATCTAAGCAAAGTATAGAAAACATCAAATTGTCTTTCTATGAAAGTTGATAAAAATTAAGTTGTTGAAGGGTTCCAAAAACAAAATCTATAGTAAATTGTGGCCTAACATCTGAATTATTTAAGAGCTCAGTACATTTATTTTGCTCAAATCATTGAGTATACAATGAGTGGTAAAGTGTTGGTATGCTCTAATAATTTTGAATTTTTTCCTATTAAATTATGTTCATTTATCTCCCCCTCCCCCATTTCAATGTTACATGGTGGTACAAAATGGTCACACATATCAGACAAAATTGTTAGGGGGAAGGGGGGACTGGAGAGTAACTTATTAGAGATGAATTACAAGATTTTTCTTCATTATGTTGAGTGTAGGATTGTTGACCACTAAGTAAGTGAGGCATACCATCTACTTTTGCCACTCATTATAGGTTTAGAGCCTTGAAAATCCTTTTTTCCTTTTCCATTAGCAACTTTCTGAGAGAGATGAAAGCAATAATTACCTAGATCACTTTAATCTAGTTGTGAGTAACAGTCGTAAATTCTTAAATTTTACAGGAACAATCTACAGTTGAAAAGTTCAAGTCTCAAGGGGGAGCATTTGTGCATGAGTTCTGCGATCATGGAACAAGAGAAGACTGCAGGAAGAACAATCCCAGAGGTCAACCTTGTAGGAAGGTGAGCTTATAATGTTGTGTGCTGTTTGTTTTCTTACTTCTTGCCTTTTTACCAACCTGCCGATATCTCTCTTTATTAGGTTCATTTTCGAAAAATTATTCAGAAGCATACAGATGGTAAGTTCACTTGTTATCAAGACTAAACTTTTCTTGAGAAATTATTTTGTGTGTAAGTTACATTGTCGGAAGAGAAAGAGTTTGAATATAACTTTTATTTACTTAGAATCCCTAGGAGATTGCTCATTTCTCAATACATGTTTTCATATGGATACTTGCAAGGTGAGAGTCTTTCCTGGATAACTGGCAATACTTTGAGTTGTTAATTTGAAAAAAAGTCAAGCTTGAGGGTAGTAAATTTGAATATAAATTGCTTTAAGGGTTAATGCCTTTAACCTGGGAGTACCATGTAATCATGTAGTCTGTTCATCTGGGTAAGTGTTCTCTTGAAAAGGGCTTTTCAGTAGTAGTGACTGACATGTCAACAACCTGAATGGAAGTTATCAACACAGGCAAATAAGGAGTTGTCTTTTGGCTTCAGTGGTATGAGTGTGGTTCATGAGATCACTTTGGTCAGTGACCCAAAACTGAATGAGCTTTAATATCCAGCACCACGTGCACACAAGGGATATAACTAATTGCACTTCACCCATTTGACAAGGCTTTCTGACGATATTTTAACACCCTTTGAAATTTTGATTGGGAGAGATGAAGGCACAGTAAAAGAAGTGTGTCTTTTTCCGAAGAACACATCGCCTGTGATCTTGCAGGCCTGTAGGGTTTAATTTGAGTCTCATGCACTGATTCTATGTTCTTTTCCCTTTTCTCTTTGGAGAGAGAGATATATTTTTTGGTAATGGGATTGAAGCCCCTTTCATGCTTTTCTATTTTAACCTGTCGTCTTTTTCTTTTTTAAAGAAAACTTTTTTGTCTTTGTCAGTATGTTCATTACAAGGTTGATTACAGTGATGTTGAGTTGAATAAGGAAGAGAAAGAAAAAGACAAGAGAAAAGAAGAAAAGGTATGCTTGGTTTACCACTTTGTTCATTGGCTTTCACATCACTGAACAATCTTGGTTACAAATAACACTAAACCGTAGAATTTTGAGTTAAGAAATGTGGAAGAAATCAGTGAAGGAAAAGTTCTACCAAACATTTACATTGTGAGCAAGATGAATTGTGGGTCCTACTTTTAACAAATAAATGATACAGAGGTAAATGATATCTTCCAACCTGCAAATGATAAACAGGAAGTAATCCTCTCAAGTGAGCATTAATTAAGATTAAAGAAATTTCAGATAAGAATCCTGAAGAAATTTAGGCTTGGATGGGATTGGAACCCATGCCTCTCAGATAGTTTGTTGCTGAGTTACAAAGCCACCCGTTAGGGGGTGGGGGGGGAGGCTTTAGTAGGTTCTTCTTTCCTGCAATGGAATCTGATTACAATTTTCTTTGAAGAGTGAAAATGTGAACAATGGAGATATATGTAATTATTATTAATTAAACAATTAACTATTGAATAGAATAAGTGACAAAATGACTTTTTTTTTAATGCCTTTTTTTCCTTCCTTTGTAACCAATAATTCGTTTATTCGGTTTTTTTTTTTTTCATTGGAGGCATCTTTAACAAAAACCGCAGAGGAAGAAAACCGAGTGATACTCTATCCACCTCAGGTAAGAGGAATGTCTTTTGTTGTGTCACCTGCATTGTGAGATATAATGAATTCTTCAGAACAGGACGGTAATATCATCTTTTCCCATTTGCTTTCATGTGGCTTGTTTTCGTTGTAAACCATGATGAAGCGGAAATCTTCGAAACCCTCGCTGATGTCTACTTAACACAGGGTGCCCATTTTCGTGTTAGTTCTAGTAAATTGCCCAGTCTGTTACAGCGCTCATCGCATATATGATTGACTACTTGTGAAATCATTTATTTGAATGATCTGTCAGAGTGAATTGCTGAAATGAAAATAGGGTCGGTAACCAGGTGTAGACGCATTTTGCTGAGTAGTTTGTCACAGGTTCGTCTTGTCAAAACATCTGGTCTAGTACGCTGTAAATCAAGTAATTAACTGAGCGGAATTTGGCTCTAAAACTGCAAAGTTTTCCTACGACATAAACAATCCCGTTGATTTGCATGCTTAGTAAAGGTGTCCACTGAATGCAGGCTATAGTCACATGTAATTTGGAAAGACAAAACTGAGACATTAATTAGTGTTGGCCCGTTTATGACAGGTTTTGTGGATGACGAGGCCTGGGTTTGAATAAATGGCTTCCGTAGCCTCTATACCTTCTTTCACGAGCTATATTACGTTTAAGCTTGGGCCTTGTCCAGGCGGAGCTTGGTTTTATGATAAATTAATCAAATGAGTTGAATCATTCTTTGGAATACGAGGATGTTTACGTAATTGCAAATTCCTTGCACTAATTTTCCAAGACTAGTGGTGTGTTTTCTTTATTTTAGTGGATTCAGTGTGACATGAGGTATTTTGATATGACGGTGCTGGGCAAATTCTCTGTGGTCATGGCCGATCCTCCTTGGGATATACACATGGAGGTACATGCCGTATTTCATTTGTCCTTTTTTTCTGGTTATCCACTCGTTTGAAATCACTGTGACCTCTGTAACTTTAAAGAAAGAGTATAAATATCTAGTTACAGTGATTTGGACTTGGACATAAAAACATAAAACGACATTTTTCATCTCATACGCATTCACATGTATGTCCTGCTTTCCATGCAGACCGTTGAGTAGTAAAGCATTTACTGGGTGAATTTAAAAGGCAAAAGATTTGCTAGGAGGTAATTCAGTCCGCTATGATCGCAAACGTTGGGTTACCACCAACAAAATCGGACATACCATTCCTTGGATTTTCTTTTTCTGAATTGATGATCGTGTTTCTTGTTTTAAATGAGTGAGACTTTTTAAGGCTCGGATGGGTAACAGTTCGTTCTTTTTCTAGTTACCGTATGGTACTATGTCAGACGAGGAAATGCGCAAGCTAGACGTTCCCTCCCTTCAAGACGAAGGATACATATTCCTTTGGGTGACTGGTCGGTCAGTACAGAGTTTTTACTGCTTCGTTACTTTATAAAAAAAAAAGTTAGACAAATTTTCCCTGAACTTTATCATAACTAATTTCTATTGCGTAAGTCTTGTGACTAGTGGTTCGTTTTTGCTTAGATTCGCCAAAATTTTTGAGCAAAATTACTCCATGGATAAAAGGCAGCTGTAAACAGTCAAATGTTTCTTGTTTTGTCGGCGAAAGTAAAGTTCCGCTAATTTCCAAGTGTATCGGAGTGTGGTTTATAACACTGTGACTCAAACAAGTACTTTATGTTGTTGTATTGTAGTGCGATGGAACTTGGTCGAGAATGTTTAAAGCTTTGGGGGTAAGTATTTCAGTGGATGAGCTCATTTTTACGTCCACTACACGATGGTGGCCAATTACGGTTTTTGAGCCATTTTTTTTGCTCCGGCTAATTTTCTTAGTTCGAGAATCAACTCGACACTCAGTGTTATTAGTGAGTTTTTGCAATGAGAATGAAGCACCGCTCTTTTATACATGGCTTAAAAACAGTGTTCAGTGAGCAGCAGAGGTTAAGCTGTAGCAAAACTTAGTTTTGGTTTGTGCAATTTATTTTATCAATGAAGTTTGCTTCTATAACATAGTGTTACTTGTAACGAAGAATGTTGGGAATATAGTTTAAAATACGGCTCCCTCAGGGTGTTTTCAGCCATCCTGAAACATTATCAGTTTATTGCAAAATTTTTATGCGTTTTCTTCCACATACTACCTGGTAAAAGTTGTTTTTGTAGCTTTGGTTTTTGGAGAGCTACTTTGGTCGTATTGCTAAAAATCCTCACAGAGAAGTTACTGAGGTTGTTTTATTTTATTCAATAGTTATGCGGGCTGCGACGAGTTAATCTGGGTGAAAACAAACCAGCTACAGCGCCTGATTAGAACGGGAAGAACTGGGCACTGGCTTAATCACGGGAAAGAGCACTGTTTGGTAACTTTTAAATCTTTGTATTTACATTCAATTGATCTTCATCTTTGTCATAACCAAATGCATTGTCGTTCTTCAGGTTGGCGTGAAGGGAGAGTGTAAAAACTTTAACAGAGGTTTGGACTGTGATGTGCTTGTTGCTGAGGTTTGTTCACTTATTGACTCTTCCAAGCAAGGCTGACTTTATCTCCTTGCGTCTAATTTTCTTTACCTTCTGAAAAATATAAAACCTTTGTAATTCTATTTACTTTTGGTAACAAAAAAAAAACCTTAGCGATGGTTGAAACAACCAGACAGACAAACAAACCAGGAGACAGAAAAATCTGAACAAAATAGACAAGTATAGCCGTGCGCTATGGATCAACAATCAATTTTAATTTATAGTTAAAATTCATTGTCTCCTTCACTTAAATTGTGCTATTCTTTTATGAATTATTCGATTTTCGTTCTGTAGACAGTTGTCATCATTTTTACATTGCTTACAGGGCAGTTGGATGTATTTTGCAGGTGAGACAGACAAGTCACAAACCAGATGAAATCTACGGAGTGATTGAACGGTTAGCACCCGGAACGCGGAAGATAGGTAGGTATTTTTTGCCTTCTCATCATCAATGTTTTATTTTAACATCAAGAAGAATCAAGATTTCCCTCGCATCTCGCGCATGAAATACCTTCGCTGCGTGTAAAAAATACACTGTTCTACGTATACCAAATAAGAAGTTAAAATTATATCAAAGTAACCGGGTATATGCAAATGATATTTGTGCATTTTAGGGCCTGTCTTCATGAATGTGGGAGCCCCCAGGTCGGTGAGGTAACCTGCCTAACTGTGGTCGAAAAATAGCCCGCGTTTACATACAATCTTACAACCCCGGAATCCCGGGGTGAAGTTTCTCGAGGTTGTTATCGCACTTGTAGTTAAGGAGTTTAAGATGTCACTACGGCGACGTGTGGTAAAACGTTGCCGAAAAAAAACTAATTTATTTTCCTCTAAGTTTTCCGCCAATAGTTAGATGCGTTAACCGTTTCTAACGGTACAACGTCTTCACCTCGGCATAACATGTGAATGTACTGTTGAGTTTAAAGTAAAAGTATGACTAAATTGCTGTCGGGGTTTTATTGCTAAGAGGAAGTAAAAAAAATTGTGTTTTAACGTTTCAGCTCTCTATGGGATGGCTAGGAAATGAACAAAGTTTAACACACTCGTGTTCCGCTATTTTTTTGCTCATTTGGTATTTCTGTAACATAAATGCGACCCCGGCTAGGTGGGTCACCCCACCTATCATGGAAACGTGATCAAGATAAAAGAGGAGATTATACGAGCTTGCGGGTTACCCCAACTAAGCGGGTTACCTCACCTACCTAAGGTCCACTACCATGTAAACAAGCCCTTAATAACGGCTCTCCATCTTTGCTCGCATTACTGAAGTTAAATTCCATTCTTTTATGGCATGTAAACAAACGTTAGAAGATAACTTCGTTTATTTTTGCGTGGAAAGTTTAAACAGAATTTCCACGAGCCTGCGTCCCGGGAATCACTCGGGGATCTCTCACTCGAAGATAAATTCGTATGCTCACACGACCCTTTCTCAATTTTTTTCCTTGTAGAACTCTTTGGAAGGCAGCACAACGTTCAACCAAACTGGTGAGAAATGGTAGAAATTGTTATAAAGATGAACGTTGGTGTCCTTTGCCGTTGAAGGCTAAAAACTCCAAGTGTTTGTTGTTTGATTGACTTTATTGGTTAATCAGTCTTAGTATATACCACACGAGTGAATAGTGCTTTTCGCGCGCGCTGATTGGCTAGTTCGGAAGTGAAGAGCAACTAGGACTCACCTCCGAGCAGCCGGTGAGAAAAAATCGCGCGTCAAGAGTTTTATTTCCAACCATTTTTTGGTAACTGTGTGGTATGTGCTAAAAACAACTATTCACTTCAGTGTTGGTGTATAATTTTTAAGTGTTGCCATTACTGTAATTGGTCGAGATTTTAGTATTTGTGAAAAAAAGGTTTTGCTTTTGATGTGTAAGTAATACGTTCCCTCTCCACAGGATAACCTTGGGTAATCAACTGGACGGTGTTAGACTTTTAGATCCTGAAGTCACAGCACGCTTCAAAAAACGCTATCCTGACGGAAACGTACTCAAACCTCCCACCACTAAAGCCTGATTCCTCTCGAGGTGCTTGACCGTAGACGCCTGTTCCAATCAAAATCTGCGCAGCAACTTCGTGAAGTAAAACATGGTACTCCTCAGTAGCTGCAGAGAAGTTTCAGTCGGATGAGCCGCTTTCCTATTGTGATAACGATAAGACGCCCGAGAAAGTTACAATTGAATCAGTTGGGCCGACAGGATCGGGTGACACACCTGTCCTGTTTTCTATTTGTCCACTTGGAACTAGACAGAGTGTAATCTGTGAAACAGTTTTCTCTGTCTCTTTTAAACCATGCAGAAGAAGCGTGAACTTAGTTGGAGTCACGTGAAAAATTGAATCTCTTTTCTCCCTTGATGTTTACCTTAGCGTGACCCCAAAGTGGCTTTCGCTTTTTCTGCTTAGCCGAGGGGGAAAGAAGTCTGTTACGGAAGGCAAACAGCGTGAGTGGATTAGACTGCTCATGCACCAGCATTATTTGATTCGTTTGTTGTTATTCTGTAATCTGTAAACAAATAGTTTATTTGTGTTTAGATTAATGTGCGTCTTACTCAGATGACCTTGAAAATAAAACGGGGCTTAAAGCAAAGAAATGCCTTTAAGTTTTGCTAGTATACGTCAGCAGAGATATTACAACATTTCACCCTTGCTCGTAAAAACTGTTTGCCTACTGTTAACCTACATTAAAAGCGTGTATCGGCGTGCTTATGGAAAGGGAAAAAAGTCGTTACATTTACTTAACAATCGCCAGTTTTCGCTCGTTTGCGCAAGCAAATATCAGGCTACAGGCTCAGCCACTATCCCACAATACAGCAGGCGCTTCAATCGCTTTACAAAGGGAATTAAATTGAGTAGAGTGAATGTTCTTAAAGAGACAATATGGTTGACGGCAAATCACAATTATGATTTCAGTCCAACATAGCACGACACTAAATTCCATCAATTTTGAAACCGCACAATTTAATTGCCTAACCACAGGATTTTTGTCGCTACCAATAGCTTATCGATCCAGAGCCTCAAGAGACATTGCTCTTAGTGAGTAAATCGTACTCCTAAATCTGACATCGGATTGGTTGTCTCGTTTTAGAGTTCCATTCCTGAAACTGTTAACGCAAGATTACAACGGTTATGTTTCAATGCAACATTCTTTATCACCTAACCCAGTCCCGCGCGTGTCACTTAGTTCATTAGCAATTACTAGACATTGTGACGTCAATAGTGGAATGTTCTCTGCTTTGTTATCCAACTGAAATGGATGACTTACAAATTGTAGAAAGCGATGGAGAGAGAAAGTTTTTGCAATATTTACATGGGTATCCCGGGGAACCAGAATGGCTTTCTGTATTACTTGACGAAAAACAACCTCTACAGGAACCGGAAAAAACAGAAATACAGCAGGTTAGTCTTACACTATTGGCAGGGTTATCGAGACACATTACAAGTAAATTAGTTGAACTTTGCCACGTACCAACATAGTAAGACAACTTATAACGACCAGATAACACGCATTGGTACCATTAAAGGGAAACCGTCGCCGTTGAGCATGCGCATTAGTACCCATCCAAACTTGACAAGTTTTAAAATGGCTTCGGGCGGTGGTGGATACAGTCGAAGAAGAAATACGGGACGGAAACGGAAGAGTGTGGTTTAAACGGAAACCGTCATCGTTGAGCATGCGCGTTTGTATACGAAACTATGAAAAAAAAAGAAGAAATAATAACTGTAAATATATGAAAATCATATATGTACACTGCGGTTGAAGAAACGAATATAGAAGCGATCCTCGCAGTTACGAACACTACTGAATTAGTAGTTGAAATGCATATTAGTATTCCTTTTTCCTTTTCTCTATCAGAAATCCAAGAATTGTGAAATATCTTGAAATACAATCCTATTAGAGAGAAAGCTTACCTTGAATGTATTAGTTCTTGCATTGTGTCTTTTATGTCGTTGGCCAGTGAGCTTCCCAGCAGGTATGGCTCCGTGTTCCACCAACCGACGAGATTTCCTTAGCACCGTTTCGTTTTTACCCTTCGCAGAATTGTGAAAAGCCCTGTTTTATTAAGGGAAGTCACCCGCTCTAATACATACTTTCGTTGTCTTTAACAGATGCTGGTAAATTTACGTATCCATGTAAGAGTTCTCTACGAAAAACAAAAGAGTCTGGCCGACAAAGTAGAAACCTCTGAACTGTTGGCCGAGAATAGATTAGAGCGTCTGTCAGATAAAGACAAGCAAATTGGGGAACTGTCACAGTGGATAAGCGATCTAAAGCGACAACTTGAGCAAGAGCAACTACGACAAAATCTGAAACTTAAAGACGTCAAACATGCTGCTGAGAAAGAAAAAGTTGAGTTTCAAAACGAGAAGGAGAGGGTTGTGGCGGAGTTGGAAAGCGAAAAAAGAGCATTGCAAAGAGAACTCTACGAGAGCAGGCATGAATTAACCCAGCTACAGAATCGCTTAGATAAGTCCGTGCAGGAAACAGCGAACGTGATAGATAATTTCAAGTTCTTCTATGAAGATTATCTTAGGTTGGAACAAGATCTGTCTAATATCGAGCGAGAGCTAATACCAATACAAAAGCAGTTCCTCCAACTAGCTGAAACCATGAATATAGACCCTGAAGAGTTACAGCGCAAGCTCGAAGAAATTAAGGAAGCTCTCAGAAAGAGCAAAAGTCACAAGAATATAAAGGACGTCTTTGATAAAGTCTTGATAGCTGCTGATAAAGATCATACGCCTCAAGAGGATCCAGCTGCGTCCTCTTCTGGTGGTAGCAGTAACTCAGACAGCTTCACTAAGGGTCAGTTAAGACTGAGTTCGTCCAGCAAAACTAAACAGAGGGAACCGTCCTGTCCTTTTAGCCAAAAATTACTTTTCGAGGAGTTGGAACACGGATCGCTCAAAGAAGCAGATGAAAATGTTATCGTACAGAAAGGAACACTGAAAAGATCAAAGCTTCGCGTAAAGATTCCAAAGTTTCAATGGAAAACACGGTAAGTTGCCACTTCCTGACGAAGGAATTCCCCGAATAAGAGGTTAATCGGTTAATTTTCGTTCTATAGCACGGTCCTTCAAAAAGGGAAAATAAAGCTCTCGCAAAAGATTTGCCCTCGGTCTTGATAATTCTCGCTGTCATGATCAACCTCATCCAGCAGTTGTTAGTTAACAGTCGTTGTCTTTTTTTCTTTGACTTGATCTTTCCGATATTTACAAACAACATCTAGTTGCACAGTTTGTTGCTGCACCGGTTGAATCAAGTTATTAAAAGAATTTGTCAATAAATTAGTCAACTTCGTGGATGTTTCATAAGATCTCCAGTCGATAACTCGCATGATATCAGCTCCGACATCAACCTCTACACCAACAGAAAATTGAAACACGTCCAGAAAGAAAAACTGAATCAGGTATATGTGATCGAGATGAAAATTGCACGGAAATGTCGGCATAAATACACCCTCAAAGGAGGTGTTCCGACCTAAGAATCTGTGAAATTGGCTGGTACCGTCATTCTCAGTACTATTTTGTTTTTGTGTTGGCTCAAGATTAATGGGAAAAAATGGAGCCTGCTCGTTTCTTCCTTTTTATTTCCTTGTTTTCTTTTTTCCGATGGGATTATGACTGCAACAGTGTTGATGTGCTTGTTTTGATCAGATCACCCGCCAAACGCTGAATATTTCTCGGGAAAAACCGACTATTGTTATGCCGTACTGATTCGATTCAGTGGCATCCTTTCAATAAGTACCCCCTCCCCCCTCCCCCCTCCTCTTACAATCGCTCCCCTCGAATCTGTTGTTGTTAATAGGCGACAGTTCCAAAAAACGTCCCTATTAATTAATCACCCTCATTCCAATAAGCGCCCCTTTTCCAATAAACACCCCTGTTCTGTTTCAGTAATAGCACTGCCAGAGTGCTTGTACACTGAGATGCACCGTGGCTCATCCTTCTTTAATTGCTCACTTAAAGCCTCACGATAGAAAAAGTGGTCTTCGACTCAGTTTCGCAATTTTTATGTCGCCGTGAGTGCACAGTTCCTTCAAACGATTGCTTGGCTAGTCGTTCTAGCAAGGAAGGATCCATCAATGGACAACAAGTCCGTTTTCCAGATTATCAATCAAATAAACATCAAAGCTTTGTTTTACACTCTGATGTTTCTCAAAAAATTGTAAAGAAGTAAGCGCCCTGTTTCAAATAAGCCGCCTCCCTTGTGGTAACGAAAGTAAAACCTGGTGCTAAATCGAATCATTTCATATTTGTGGAAACAAAATGATCATATAGATAAAATATATATTTGTTTATTTCTTTCAGGATTTGAAGAAACAAGTTAAAACTTTTTTTAAATCACTTGACTGCTTATATCGCTTCAGAGTTCAGTTCGCAGAGAACACTTCACTCGTCATGCAGTTCTCGTGAACTTTGTCAGTTATACTTAACAACGAAAGTTGCATTCCTCTATCTTGTTTTTGATCGGCATTTCTTTTGATTGTATTTGTATTTTTTTTTTACTTCTTTCCATTTAAGCGAATACACATATTGATTTGTAATCAGTGTCAATAAAGGAACAAGCCAGTGCATTTGTTCAAAGAAATTTTACTTTCCTATTAGAACATTACCCCTCGATAGCTCTCTGCATAATTATAAAAAAAACGCTGTGTTCGCAATACTGAATTTAATTTGAACCATCGTGAAAAAGTCTTGACCAGGGTTGTCAAACTGTATTCACCTTTCACGGAAGCTTCGAAAAAAAACTTTTTTCATCGCTCGGCAATTCTTAGCAAAACTCGTATTCTTCAGGATGGGAGAGAAAAAATGAGATAAAAATAAAACTACTAAGAGTAAAAATTATTGGACGGTCAGTTTTTCTGTTTATTGACTGACGAATTTCAATGACTTATTTTAATGGATATAGGATTTTTGAGAATCGTGATTAACTGCCCGATTACGCGTTTGGGAAGATTACTTCTATAATTTTACTTTTCATTGCCTGTATTATTAATTAATTTCTATTTTTTTACGTTTCGATCAAATCCTTTGTATCGTATGAACTGTGACTCACTCCACTCTTATAAAAGCACCTCTTCGCGAGTTTTTCTTCTTTCTTTTTAAGGGGTTCAGCATTAGCACTCTAGATAGCCCCTCTCCTCTCTGATTACTTAGAATTAAGACCTTACTGTTTCCTCAGATATAAGTTATCGACTATATACTAAACAATTGTTGGATGGGGTTTTTGTGATATCTAGAATTATCAAGGTCGAGGCAGGAAGGCTCCGGCTAATAACCCTTACCGAGACCTTGATTATTCTAAATATCACAAAAAAACTTACAATATGTC